ACGTAGCTGAAGTTGCGTACCTTAGTTCGATTTGGGGGTTTAATGTAGACCAAGCCTAAGGTGCCACAAGTACTCCTGTTCTTTTTACTGAATTATAATAATTCAGAAAATATTTTTAACAATTTTTAAAATATATTTTGCAACAGGAAACACAGCTTACACAAAATCATAATGTGTAGTAAAATATAAACTTTAAATTGAACAGAACTATCAATATGTACACATAACAAGCCTGGGTAAATGCATGATCTTATTACTGTTACCATTGTCCTCTTTCCCACTTCCCTCATGTTGTTTGATACCCTCTCTCCTTGCATCATGTCTAAAATTAGATTGCAGGATTAGGTTTGCTTGTGAGATGTCTAATACCACATCATTTAGGCCAGAACGGAAATTCCACAAGAAAAGCCCCTGTCTCGTATTTTGTGTTTCTTTTCTAAGGCCTGATCCAACTGCTGCTGAAGTGAAAGGAAGTCTTTCCCTTGGCTTTCATGGGCCTTGGTCCAGACAGAAACAGGAAGTATGCAGATTCACTGAAAAAAGTGTGCGTGCATGGGTGTGTTGTAAATTGGTGGGTTGTTTCACCTGCTGGGGAAGGTGAAATCATGCTCCAAACAATGGCAAGTGCCAATTCCATTGCTCATGGATTTCTGTACTGATTTAGAAACAAAGATTCAAAACAAAACCAAACAACAAAACAAAACAGTCTCAGCTGCCCTTCCCTTCAGGGATCCCCAGCTGAGGCTTCTGCCCAACTGGCTCCTGTTCCTGGCAGGTGTCTCCTTCTCAGTTCTGCCACCTTATATGTGTGAAAATCACTTCGTATCTATTCTGTCTGCTCCTTTGCCTAAGAAGCAAGAAGCCTTATGTAAGATTTCCTGTAGCCCACATCACTAGGAGGCGGTATATGGCCTTCAACTACAGCTCCCACTTTTAAAGGCAGAGAGTCCATAACCAGTCTAAATAGGATGTGTATATGCGACCCAAGGTCCAGTACACTCTCTCTCTCTCTCTCTCTCTCTCTCTCATACACACACACACACACACTCAAGGAAAGTGCTGAACAATGCTCTGGCATAAAATTATAATACAATTCAATAGGTCAAAAGGCCACAAATAGGTCAAAAGGCCACTTCAGTATCACAGATGCACATCCTCTCCAGTAGACTATTCCCACGGCATATTATTATTATAAAACAAGGATGCTCTACTTGGTGAGGAAGGATAGTTTAGGGGTTAAGGTGCTAATGTGGAGCTCAAGAGACACTATTTCAATTCCTCTCTCTGCTAAAGGATTCCTATTTAATATTGGGCAAGCCCCTCTGTGCCTCAGTTCCCCACCTCTAAAATGGGGATAATAGCACCTCTTCCCACCTCAGAGGCGTTTTGTGAGACAAAATATACGAAAAGATTATGAGGTACTAAGTATCTTGGAGAGAGAATTTGATATCCCAGCACAGGTCAGTCATCCTTTTCTTCCTTGGGAAAACAGTTGGGTCCTGAAGATCACCAACGGAATGTCTGGCTGCCAGTTCATGCCAGGAAGAGGCTGCTGGTCAAGCACCTCAACAACTGCAGTTTGTCCAAACTTCACAAAGGTTGGTGTTGTTCCAGTCCAACTTTGATAAGAAGGCTCAGGTTCATCTACCCATGAGTAATGGTCCAGCTAGGACCCATGCCTACACCCTTTACTGAAGCAAGTGAGAGATTTTGTAGGACTGGTGTAGGACCTCGTTCCTAATTTGTATGACCATCATAACAGCTCATAGAATAAAAATAGTCTCTTCAGCCTGTTATGATTAAATACTGTATCTTAAATTGAGGGAAGTAGTTTTATAGTTTAATTTATTTTATGAGTGGTGTCTTGTTTAAATCTTTTAAATATCCATTTTTTGTAGCTCCAAGAACTCACTGTAGCAATTGACAAATATGTAAATGTTGCAGCAATTACTTTTTCATTACCCGTGAAAAATGATCTTGTAAGGATTTGAAGGGATGCAGTTCTTTGGAGGTGAACATAATTTAAAAAATAAATCCAGTAAAAGAGTATATGCTGCTGTAGTAAGGGGTAACAAACAATCTAAAAACCAAGGCTTTAGATGAGATCCATGAACAACATATTTATTGAACCTTCTCTGACCTTCAGATGAGGATTGAAATAAACCAGAAATACACCAAAGATTTTGTCATGTATTAAGGATTTGTTAGTCAATATATTTCATGGAAAAAATATACTTGTCATGCATTCTTGACTATCTGTTACGCAGACTTGACTTCAAAGGGGCTCCAAATGGGTGCAGGTATCTGATCGTGTGGGAAAAAGTGACATGATCAGGACCCTGGGGCCTTACTCTTGCAAGTTCAGGGAAAGTGTCATAAGCATATACAATATGTATATCTTCTACAAGGAAGCTCCA